ACATGTGTCACAGATCCCTTGAGTAAAAGCGCCCTCAGACGTACATCATCTAAGGCACATTATATTTCACTGAGACTCACTCATGAATTAGCGTGCRAGAACATCCACCTAAGTTTTACTACAAATGTGTTTACTGCTAATCAGTGTAATGGACTAGACTAATAGCACTTGAATGTGTGTTTAACTTATATATTCTGTGGGCCTTGAGAGATGACAGGGCTCTTACAAGGGTGGTGGTTGTAATATTGAATTATAAAACCCATTCAAGAACCTGCCAGGAGCCCCCTTATCGTGTGCGGCATAACATCTATGCCTTCTTTTATGTGTTAGATTTGTTATGCAGTGTGGCTTTATAAAGTATTTATCAYGGCTTTATAAGACAGTAAAATTCTAATCAGTTCAGGAGTCACATCTAGCAGCAGAGCGGCTCATATTGTTGAAAAAGTCTTTTTTTTATTCCGAGGCCTGGGCGTAAGCCTTGCAGCATTTCAAGTTCTGCCAGAACTGTTCCTCGTGGATCAGTTAATACGAACCTCCTCATCTCCTCTTGAAATAAATACCACAACAGATAATCAGAGGGATTTCATGGCCTCTCTGAACCCTAATCTTTGTTAGAAATAGAAACGACTGAAACCTAATGTTCATTTGGCGTCTTGTAACTTGCAGAGTTCCTCAGCACGCAGATGTGATTTTTCACAGCTGGACTTGACTTACTTGGCTGTAAGTCTTGCATACACTACCTCGAGCACATAATACTTCACGTTGATATACAGTGTAACATTAGATAGTTTACAGCTCTGCTTTGTGTCAAGGTTGGCTGTGGCCAGCGGGGGCACAGGCAGGCGGGGAGAATGCCGTGGTCAGCGTTGGGTCAAAAAGACCGTCGGTGCTCAGAGGCTGGCAGGGAGCCACGCCTCGGTGCGTGTCTGCTCCGAATGTTAATGGATTAACGCCCGCCACACATACAGCCAGGCCGGGGGAAACTCAAGATGACTTTTAACGCGAAAGGCCGCCAATAAGTCGCCGTCATAAATTCAGGGACACATGCTGTCTATATACCAGCACGGCAGCGGGGTGTGTTTCCTCCAGGCTGAGGGGCTGTGTGATGGGGGAGCAGGTGGGCTGACCTTGCCTCCGCCCACTGCCAGCCTGTCGAGATGTGATCAGAGCGTGCTGTAAGCCCTGCTGAATAAGATATTGTTCAGGGCAGGGTTATGCAGGCGGTTTCCCTTATGGAAGCTAGACTTCCTGCTTATGTTTGTACACAGTGTTTAAACCCAGACCCTGCAGATTTAGCATTCTCTAGCACAGGAGAAGGTTGTTCTCTGACAAAATGTTCCTCTTAATGGCTTTCAACAACCAACTTAGGCTTGTCTAATGTGAGTTTCCACATGGCAAAGTGAGCAGTCAGTGTGATGCTTAGACACTGTGCAGCGACAGCCCCAGTTGCTATGTGTAATTTAACAGCAGGGGGACAATGAGCTAATCTTGCTGTAGAACTTGTGCCACCAATTTAAAATCAATAAAGATGCATTGTTTTTTTAAGGACCTCTGCTTGAGCCGTGCTGTAAATAAGAGCTTGATTTGAAGCGGTCCTCATTGGGGGGTTATTTTAAACCCATTGATAGATTGTTTTGCAAAGTTTCACATACATTTTTGACACTAATGTATCCAATTTTTCTCCATCGTTTCCTTGTTGCCCTGCAAGCAATTAGGAATATTCACGTCCGTGGATGATTTCTAGCCACGTATTGAYGAAGGGAATTGCAAGAAATCATTAGGCGCATGTTTTTGAAATAGCTGAAAGCAAAACAAGTGACACAGACACTGGGAGGGGAAAAAAAGTTATGGCGTTGGAATTTGTAATCCAATTATCCTATTCTAGTAAATAAAACACTGCGCTGGGTTTTCCTATGATTTTCTGTCTCTATCCACCGCAGACTTTGCTTAATGCCTTCAATCTTTTTTTGCTCTCTTTTCTGTGCAAATTAATTTATGGTCTAATTACAAGACAGGCCTGCAGATATGAAGGAACACAAATCACTGGTCCTTACCAGATGGCAGAAAAAACGGCACAGGATAATTGAAAATCTAGAAGTGGATCAATATTTAGAAGCCCAAGGTTACACRAAGTGTGACACTACTATTAACATGGAAATATGATGCATTACATCCGCAGGCTAATTGGCTTTTGTTTTTTTTTTTATGTTGAATGAGAGAAAAGCTTCTTGTCCTGGGTTTTTCCTCAATAATGATCAGTTTCAGCGAGCACTTCTCTTCCTCTTGCAACCATAATCGAGCAGAAATGTATTGGCATGGCTTCATGTGTACACCGGCGGCAGCCGTGTTCGCACTCGCTCGCTCTGCTGGTCAGTGGGTCTCGGGGTCTCCTTTATGACACAATGTACCGTGAAAGCTAGAAGCCCCACCGTGTCACAGACCATCTCTGGCCCACCCAACCCCTCTCCCCAGCATTTACCTCTGGCCTGTTAAAAATGATATCGGTGCATGGAGGGCAAGCAYTAGCATTTGCATTTTATTGGAAGCACCAGATTTAGAGCAGAGGATATATCAGCTCTGAGCAGACAGAATTAGTTAACAATGCATTACCTGCCTTTTATGGCAGCTATAACTCTTACCCCCTGGTGGGAAGAGGAGATGAAGGGAGGAGGGAGGAGGAGGGGTGGTGGTGAAGGGGAAACACAGCCAGCAGAAGGGTGGTGGTTAGAGCTGTGGTGCAGAAGGAAAAACGTATAGGTTTTGTCTAAAAGGTGCTCCACTGCACATCAAGTGTGACAGCAACGCAAATCCGAGCATCACTTTGTGATCACCTTCATACAGATCTGTGCTCGGTGCAGAGGGACGACAAGACAGTTAGACTTTTTTTTTCTTTAATCAAAATGCAACCAGCAAAAACAAATCCCATGTCGTGTTGTCATTCTTCAGTTTCTTTGTGTGGTTTTTTTCTGTTTGTTTTGTTTTTGTTTTTCACTGCACTGTGTCATAGGTTGGAGGGGTGTCATCATGAAAGCGTCTTTATATGTTTGTTGTTTTTGTGGTATCCTTGAGCAAAGTGTAACTCTGATTAGACCCACTGCGTCAGTCCCTTTCCCTCACCACAGCTGCACAGTAGCTCCTACGGCACTCATTTATTGTAATGTGCTGCAAGACGACCCACCTCTGCTGTGGGCTATACCCCGTGGAACTCATTTGCACCAGAAGTTGGAGATGGTGGTGTTTGTGTGTGTGGTGGTGGTGGTGGTAGTGGAGGGGTGGGGGTAGTGTGTTTGAAGTGCAAAGAGCCTGTTGTGAATAAATAAAAAWATATATAGCAACACATAATCGCCATCAAGACATGGAATACCACACTCTGCAAGACAGAGGTGGACAAAATAAAAATAAAACATGCTGCATTTTCAGATGGATCAACATCCAAAATTGTGTCCAAAAAAACATATTAAGCACAACCATCTTTCAGTTCTTCCTTGCTTAAACACRTTCGACACAAATCAGATTTTTCTCTCATCTTCATTGATGTCTTATTCTGTTTTCTCCCCTAACTTGCAATGTAATATGGGATCTCATCTGTGTTTACCGTGTCACTGGCAGGAATCCAGTGAGCACCTCAGAGGCTTTCCCCATACCAAACCCATTGGCCCGGGTTTGTCAGAAGACATCTACAAGCTCCATAAAACAGCCTGCTGCTCCCTGCCTTTGCCCAGCTTAATGGTCCCAGGGGCTGGATATTTACTAGTGACCTTTGCATTCCATTTGGAATGTAAAAGGCTTTTTGCAAGGAAAATTCCATCACTTTCGACATAGTCACTGAGTAGATGGGCCTATGTGTGGATTTCAGAAAAGGATGCTATAAAAGGAGAAAAAAGATTAAAGGAGATAGAAGTTAAAAAAACAAAAACATAACTATCTGCCATTGTCTGTGATCTTTCGTTTGATTTTCAATGTGAAGTCATGAATGGCCTTTGAGCATTAAATATGAGTTTGTGTTATTGTATAGGCTACTTGATTTTGTCATTGTAAATAATTTGTGATCTTAATAGAATAAGTTTTGAAAAATATGAATAAAATTTAAAAATAAGAGAATGTATCACTTTCTCCCAATCTTCATTATATACAGTATACAGTATATGTATGTACTGATTATTTATTTATTTATTGTATTGTTTTCAACTATTTGCCTAGAAGCTATTTTGGGGACAGCTCAAATAAATAAACCTATTTCATGTGTTCATCGCTCATACAATAAAAAGTATTTTAACACATTTTTTACAATAAGCTTGAGGAGCGAAATGCTACTTCAGTAGATGTTAGAGCACAAGATGACTCTTTGAAAACATGCTTCACACGCACAAAAATTACTGAAGTGTTTTAAAGAGCGATTAAAATCGTTTGAACTTACTTTGGCCTATACGTTCTACAAAAATAAAGTGTTTTTGCGTCGATATTCAAGGAGGTTCTATAGAACAGCGATCTTTGTATTTAAGTCTATGTCGATATTAAACAACAGCGCCATCTGCTGGGGAATGGTAGCTAGTGCGTTTCAAAATCATTTGGTAAGGTTTCAATAATCTGAATTTAATTCCTGGAAATTCAGTCCCCAAAAACAAGATTAGTAACGCCAATCTGTAACTGGTTTAACTTTATTAAAACTAGTTTTATTTAACTACATTAATAAAAAAACAGCCACATGGGCTACTAAAAGAAAAGAAACCTGACTGAAATGTTAACATTGAATGTTTATTAAAAGGGTGCTACAGTACACGTAACATTTCTTTGACACAGGGGAMCTTTAAAAAAATATGGCAGTTCAGCAGAAAGTTTTTAAGAACAGAATTTAAAACACAAAAACCCAACTAAGCACCATGGAACTTCATGTGGATTTGATGCATCAAAGGGTAAAGTGACAATTTCTGTTCAGAAAGCCAAAATTCAGTCTTTATTTACTAAATGGTTAATAAAAAGAGTTCTGATTGAATACAAGAAACCTTGTAAAACCATTTTATTTCTAAAATGAAAAACATACTTTTTACAATACTTAATGGGTGTCAACATTGGTCACAAAGTCTGGGATTTTTTTTAAACTACAAGGTGACAAAAACCAGTCATAACCGTGAATATCTGATTTTGTGAACAGTGAAGATTGTCTAACCTGTGAAAACTCTAGAAACTAAATTAACACTTTGCTCAATGAAAAACGCACAGAGCTGAGTAAAATGTTTTATTGTTTTTCTTTAACCAGTGAAACTTATCAGATTCATGTAATGAAACTTGTAAGACAAAAAAAGTATATATATAAAAAAAATGGAACACTAAGCATAGACAAGGTTTTAAATGTAGTAATTATAGCCTGGTCAAAAATAATGCAGAAGGGGGGGGGAGAGAAAAAAAATCTACAAGACAAAAGTTTTTAAAAAAAGAAGGATGCAATTACACAGTCAGAAAAGTGTTGCTTCCTGAACATACAATAGTAAGCCTTTTTTTTGTTGTGTTTTTATAAGAAGTGAAACATTAAAAACATTGGAGACAAAATTTAGGCATTTAAAAAGTAACAATTTGCACCACGACTTTTATTTCGACTGTGATAATCACATCCTGAAAGCACTAAAACATATATGTCAAGATATTTAAAAAAGGTTCATGAATACAGAGACAATACAGTAGAAACTTTCCCCAGTAGCATATCACCCACATCCACTACAGTTTCTCCTCCTACATGATGGATCCCCCTCAGCAGTCTGGGCCATCGTGTTCCAGTGGGACACGGATGGAGAAAAACACACATTACACACACTATAACCGTGTCTGCCATCTTGTTGTCATTGCCGAACATGGTAAAACGGTGAGGGAGTTTTGGTGGAAAAAAAAATGTCTGACTCAAGGTAGTCCCTGCAGTGGAGGTTTGCTCCGGAGGTGATACACTCACGCACTGACGGCATCCTTCTCCTTCTTGTCACCGTCTTCATGCCAGGTGAGACGCTCCTCATAGAAGGCTATGACAATCTGCGGGCACTTATGATTGGCCTCCTTGGCAAGTACGAGATCTGCCTCGTCAGAGTCTTTCCTGTAAGAGAGAGATTGGATRCATTCGTACTAGATCAACACACCAAGTTAAAAGACCTGAATAATTAAAATATACCAATTCAAGAACAAACATACACAGGAGGATATTAGCGTTCGYATCATTAGCTTTACATTTTTTTCTTTTGAAGTTACAAAACAAAACAAAAAAAAAGACAGTTTCTTTTTACATTCCCAATGAATTTACTACGCATTCTAATAAAATATTTATGAAATCTGAGCTGTGTTAAAACCACCCCATCAGCAATGGGACTTTAACGACCACAAGTGATAATGTACTACATGTGTAAAATTAAATMATATGAAATTGCATAAAGTTTTATGATGTGGCTGATTGTTTATATGAYTGGACAGCTATTACTGCTGCTAATAAGTAATTTGCCAGTAGAAATGACACAATAAAGTGRCATTTTAAAAGAGCATTCAATCTTGAAGGCAGTCAGAAAAACAGACTGGCAAAGTTCTCACACAATCCTGAAGGGTAACATCTTAAAAATAAAGAGGGCAATAGTGTCACATCAGAAAAACAATTCTTAATTCACAGAAAACTAGTCAAACCAAGCAAAAAATAAAATAAAATAAATTTAATAAAAATGTCAGCACCTATTACGGTTATCTCCATCATAACAGACACTGTTTTCAAAAGTCCTCTAAAAATGAAAATGGCTCCCAACACCAATCACTATTCTTCAATTTTCAAAAGACAGGGGGTGCTATATTCCTGCAAACTGCAACATTWGGCCAAGAGAGGCCATAAGTTGTTCAGAAAAATTTAAGCCTCAACCATTGTAAGGAAAAAATAAGTAGAAATAAAAAAAAGCTATGGTCCAAATGTCAGTCATGGTGGAGTAAACTAAAATATATTTGCAAATAAAAAATAAGATAAAAAACATCAAAAGTTTACTAAAACTAACTTTGTTTATGCTCACATGCAAACATGGGTGTCTTAAATCAATCTAGTCAAATGGTTTTAATATTAGAGGTAACTGAATGCATTCTAATAGATTAAAAAGTTTTTTTTAAGCTGTGGTACTTAGAATTGTTTTGTTTTTTCTCCTACATTTACCATCATAAAGAAAACTTACCACTTCATGAGGAACATTAAGTCTCCACACGAGTCAGTTGCTCCAATAATCTTCTCTGGTTCAAGGCCCCTCTCRAAGCCACGTGCAACTAAAATTTCATCCTGAAACACAGAAAAAGGCACCTTGAAATTTCAAAAACAGCTGAACACTAATTTAAAAAAAGTGGCAACATAGGATGCATGTTTTGCCATGAAATTATTTAATATTCATTTGTTAGTTCACAGGCACACCTTTATAGGCATTCAGACTGCTGTAATGTCACTGCTGCCAAGTGAACAGAGAGAAAAAAAAGTTTAAAACTTTTTTTCTTTTTCAAAGCATAAGATTCCCCACTATAACTTTCCCCCCTCACTTTCAAGATCAGCAACAATCCAGATTTGCAGAAAGAGGTTGTTAAAGAGGGTTTAAATGTAGATAAGGCAACAAAACAGCAAGACAAAAACTCAATGCATACCATTCCCAGGCCAAGTATACAATCAAGTCTATTTAGTGATGTAGATAAGCAGCTTTTATACAATCTTAAAACGAGACAACAAATGCTAATAACCAATTAAACTAAAWTTACACTATACACWGCAAATGTATACTTTTATGACAATCTAAATTTTAATTTTACCAATGACTACTTAGAATGCAATAAAGCTGGTTAAATATTTGATCAGTTGAACAGACTCACTGGCCCACATGCTCACACCTGGTTTAGATGACAGTGATAATAGAAGGGAAAGTTTCGAGTGAGGAAAGWAGTTTATTGCAATGGAAGGTTGTTATAATATTTGACAATAACTTTGCAAGTTTTTCTAATAACATGCCGCCCACATTTAAACTGAGTCGTTGACCTAAGAAATTTAATCAAGGGGGAAGGAGCTACTTCTGACTTGCAAATGTAACACGCACACACACACACAAAAAAAACAACAACAAAAAAACACACAGGTGATCAGTACCAATGGATGTTTGCACTACAAACATAGCCGCGATCCACTTTACCTCTTTCTTCTTCTTGGACTTACTAGCACCCTCCTCTTCATCCTCCTCCTCCTCCTCCTCTTCTGAAACCCTCTTCTTTGAGCTGCTGGAATCTTTGGAGCGTCCAGAGGAGCTTGTGCTTGTTTTGCTGCCCCCACTGCTAGGTGTGGCAGCAGCACTGCTGCCCTTTTTGTACGTCTTCATGAACTCTGAAATAAGTTCAGGGCAGTCCAGATTCTTCTCTGGCTCCCATGTGTTGTGCTTGCTGGAAGGGATGATGGAACAAGTCAGTGCAAATTGNTCTATAAAATAAAGTTATTTTAGTACCCTTGACGTGATTCTTACTAATAAAATGTTTTCTGAGATTTAAGAGTGCAGCTTCCAAACTTACTCTGAGTATCCTTTCCACTTCAGGTAGAACTCGACCCTGCCTTTCACCACCCTCCTGTCCAGCACCTTCTCCACAACATATTCTTCCTCATCAGATGAGGACTCTTCTTCGCGAGACTTTTTGCCCATTGCAAAGTTAGGTGCTTCACAAAAATCAGGTTACAGCAACAGGCCGATAGCTGCACTTCCCTGTTCGAGAGCAAAATACAAAAAGGACATTGTTAAAAACACTGGTTCCAGACTGCTCACTAATATGCATTAAAACAGTGCACGCAAACGCAATTTCTTCTAAACAAATCGAAGTTCGGAGCATTCGCAAGCTGCACATCTGCGGGACTAAAGAGTAAAACTTCACAACGTGGTTGGACGTGTATCTGTAAAGGCAAAGAGGCTGCACCGTCGCTGATAGTCTGCAACAGGCTCAACATTCATTGCAAACACAAATATTATAAAAGGCATAATGGTTTGTTATCCCTCGAAGCTGATTTTAAAAAGCATTTTCTCAAACTGCTTTAACATAAAGCGCACATGACGCGAACACCGAAATGATGAAAACGATGCTGTCGTGAGCTAACACAAACTTGCTAACAGATAGCTTAGAAGCTAATGCGTGACTTGAACGAGCCGCTAAAACATCAAATTACAAATCTTATTCGGCGACACCATAAGTCACAATTATAAGCAACCAATCACTTACCCTACTGTCGTACAAAACAGCGGATTTAGGCGTAAACCGCCGCGAAATGCTTGGTCTATTGTGAATCAGCAGCGAGGCCGAAGCAGAGGCTGCTTTAGCATGTAGCMTGTAACAGATAAAGGGGGCTGTGCGCAAAAAGCGCGCGTTAAAAGGCGCACAATGAACGTACCGCCCCTCCACAGCTGATAACCTCCATGTTTGTTYCGAAAACCTGACCTGTGATTTTATTTTCTATGGATAAGATGTAGAGCACGATTTGTATTTAAAATGGGCATAATTGGCACGAATCATAAATAAAGCGTGAAGAAATTAGGGAGTAAAAAGCAMGGACATAGACCCTATAACACCCTTGCCAAAAAGTACAAACGAATCAGAAATCGTGCAAATACATGTATAATCGTTATACGTGTTTAGACTTGTATGCTGTTTAGCTACAATCAGTATTTTACTTTTTGTGGTCTGCCTTTTATTTGCTTTATTATTATGCAACCAGTCAAACAATCAATATTTGAAATTTCAACTAAAGTCTAAAMACAAGTGAACATACACAAGAAAATAAACAAATGCACTGCCTACAAGTCTTAAATTCATCATTTGGCGAGGGTTTTCTTTTTCTAAAATTCATTGGAATAGTATTAATCTCACAGGTATTGACGCCATAACTAGTTATTTTTTGTGTGTAACACGACAGCACACATGCCGTCTGGTGATTGGTCGTTCGTTATGACTGACAGGAGCTTAAACTAATCAAAAAATAATTCAACGCTGACGACAGTGCAGCGCGAAATATTGACCAATTGCTGGATGAGAAGGGCGTATCCTTTTCTACTTATTGACCCGCAGAGAGCCATACTGTCTGGTCTGGCGCAGATAGTTGTTCACAGATCGGCGTTCAAGGTTCTTCAAGGATAAAGCGTCGAGATGTCGAAGGACGTAAGTATTGTATGTGTACCGTTTGTTTATTCCACACATCTGATATTTCGGCGATGCAAAGGTTTACATTTAAGTGTATTTTTCTCGGTTCTACGCAAACCGCGTGCTTCGCCTTCGGCTGCAGCAGTAGCTTTCCGACATTGTGAAGCCGCCATTTTGAGATGGTTCGGCTTTGGCCTTTTGTTAAAACGGCCAGCGTTTTACGGCGCTTAAGCATTTTTCCAAACTTTGGTAACAAACTATCGCATACTGTATGTTCTAACAAATATAARCATATGTAAGCGTCGGTGAAAATTAGTGTTCTGCGCAATCTGACTAGTCCGCAAAAGTTAATGGCGGCGACGACTGCCTCCTCCACCCTTGACTGAATTTTTTTTTTCTTTTGCTGTACGACGCAGAATGAGATTAGTTAAATGTTGTTTGAATTCTGGATGCATTGTTATGGACTATGATTAATATTATAAGATATTGTTATAAATGACTGTTTTTAAAGCTGCGCTAATGTAAACGTGCTCGTTTATAGGTACCACGTGAGCCGGAGCAGCTCCGTAAGCTTTTCATCGGAGGCCTGAGCTTCGAGACAACAGACGAAAGCCTGCGTGCTCATTTTGAACAATGGGGTGGTCTAACAGATTGCGTGGTGAGTGTGATACTTGGATATGATTTAGCAAATATTAATTTTTTATCATAATTTTGGATTTGCCGAAATTTTTTTTATTATTAACATTTCTGTTTTTAGGTTATGAGGGATCCCAACAGCAAGCGATCCAGGGGTTTTGGCTTTGTGACATATTCATCAGTACAAGAAGTTGATGCTGCCATGTCTGCCCGTCCTCATAAGGTGGATGGGAGAGTGGTGGAGCCCAAAAGAGCCGTTTCTAGAGAGGTATGTTGTATAATACCTTTCAGTGTTGAGTRCACATGGCCTGTGAGTAGAAAGCTTGTTTCTCTTGTACTAATCACTCATTTATTTACTGTTTATTTTAATGTTAGGACTCAAACCGCCCCGGTGCTCACATAACCGTGAAGAAGATTTTTGTTGGGGGCATCAAAGAAGATACAGAAGAATCTCACTTGAGGGATTACTTCCAGCAATTTGGTAAAATTGAGGTCATTGACATCATGACGGATCGTAACACTGGAAAGAAGAGGGGCTTTGCTTTTGTCACGTTTGATGACCATGATGCTGTCGATAGGATTGTCAGTAAGTGTGGGTCTGTTTTTATTTTTTTATTTTTAACCTATTGCATGTTAACATGAGCAGTGTGTAAATGCTCTACTTAAATCCCCCTTTGCCCTCTAATAATCTTGTAGTCCAGAAATACCACACGATCAACTCTCACAACTGTGAAGTGAGAAAGGCACTCACCAAACAGGAAATGCAAAGTGTAGGAATGGGAATGAGAGGAAGCAGGAGCAGTGGGGGAAGGCCATATGATTACGACAGAGGCTTTAATCAAGGTAAGACTTTTGCTGTTAACGTTGTTTGTTAATGTGTTATGGTTATTTATGCCTTTTTTTTTTAAAATCAGGTGGAAGAGGTGGAGGAGGGGGAGGAGGACGATACGGAGATGGTCCCTATAATTGCAATAATGGTGGTGATGGTGGTGGTAAGTAAATAGTTTTTACTTTCCTTTGGTATCTTTTTAGTAGTCTTACGTTTTAAGGTGGCATTTATATTTCAGGTTATGGAGGTGGTCCTGGTGGTCCTGGTGGCTACAACCAAGGCRGCAACCGTGGTTATAACCAGGGTTACAATCAGGGCGGTGGTGGAGGAGGAGGCGGCGGCGGCGGCTATGGAGGAAATGGTTACGACAGCAATGGTTATGGTGGTAAGGATTCTGCAGTTTACCAAAACAGGTTTATTTGTTCTCGCACTTTCGAAGCATTCAGTTCTCAATTTTTAATTTTATTCCCTCAAGGCAACTGCGGTGGTGGTGGAGGCGGCGGTGGCAACAACTATAACAACATGGGCCATTACGACTCCCAGGCTTCTAACTTTGGTCCAATGAAGAATAACTTCGGTGGTGGTGGCGGAGGCGGCAGCGGTGGTGGCAGGAACTTTGGTGGTAAGCGTTGAGACAAAGACAGCTGAATAATGTTTGCTGTTTGAAGGATGTAGCTGACATTTGTTTGTTTCCTTCAGGTGGCTACGGAGGAGGCTCAAACAATCCTGGTAGTTATGGCCGTCCAGGACGATTTTAGGAGGTAAACATTGATTGGTGTTCCTCTGATAAATCAGTTTGCTATTCTAGGGAATCACTGAGTACAGATAACTTTAAAGAAATTCACTCTGGATGTCAGGACTTACAAAAAAGTCAGTGCACAGTTAACGATGTTGTCCCATATTGTTCAACAGGACTGATTACTTAGGAGAGGAGAGGAAAACAAGGAGAGGAGAGCAAGCGAAGTGACAGGGCAGCTGCTCAGCCAAACAGTTGTGGCAGTTTACAGCTGCTACAAGAAGAGATGTACAGTAGATAAATCATGGAGGGCCTTGATTTAAATTTTTGTCTTTTTGTTCTTTCTTTCATAACATGTTTCTGGATTGCAAGCATTCCAATGAGGGTTTTATGTTTTTATCTTTTTGAGTCTGGTTCTTATTTGTAACTGCATCAAATTAATCTGAAATAAACAACCTTTCAGTTTTTTAAAAACCTTGTTAGACTCTAGTGATTTGGGTGAGGGAGGGTATATTGTTAGATTCTGACCTGTTTTTAAACATGAAGTAACAAGAAATACCCAAGAAAAGAGAAGGCGGGAAAGGGCTCATTTCCCAGGCACTACAATACTTGAGGAGGGCGAGTGCAAATGCTACCATCACAAAGAACTCATCACTTGGTTCAGACGCTACAAAGATCATCTGGAAGATGCTAGCTTACATGCAAAATCTGAGGCTAGCCATGGAGGCAAGCTGAGGGAAGCCATGGAGGCAAGCTGAGGGAGAGAAGTAGCAATACCATCGCCAGGATCATTGAAGCAGGGGAGAGTGAGAACAGAGGCCTGAGGCTAGCAAACAGCTACCAAAAGGCTAAAATGCTGTCTGTAGGTAAGACCAGACTTCTCAACTACTGATAGTAAATCTTTTGTGTTGTAGCTGGTAGTGAAGATGCTAAGCCAGTAACTATGTAAATGTTAAGTTTGTACTTAGACGTGTTGGTAAAATTGGCCTCTAATTGTGCAGAGGTTGAACTGTTGCATGCAGTAAATAAAAATACCTACCGTACTTTTAATAACTACTGTTGTAGTTATGTTATGTTTCTGCTTTACAGATGACTTGACTCCACGTGAGCTCCAAAATCTGACTTCTTTTAAGTGGTGATGGCTCAGACAGGTACAAAAAAGGTCACATCACATTTTCACCATGTTTTATTTAACCTAATACTTGTTTCTTTCTCGCCCACAGGTTAATGGGACATCTTTTTATATGCTGAAGCATATCTATTTTTACACAAAGGCTGCAGTGCAGTAATTTTATACTTTTATAAATAAAGTATTTTAAATAAAAAGTTGGTCTCACTCAATTGTAACAGCAAGTTCATTTGCAAGTTTAAAAACTAGGGTTAAGCCATAACCAGATAACCTGAAAGGTGTAGGTTGGTGCGAGAAAATTTGTGTATAGTTTAAATTTGCTTATTCAAAGTAAAAATTGAAGGAAAAAACACAGCTTTTTATTAAGTTCTGTTTAAAGCCTAAATGTAAAATCGAGCCCAAAAAAAAATCCAGTTTTGTTTTTGCTTCACTTAGCTAAATCCAAAATATATAAAAGGTGGTTTTAATATAGCGATACTGTCTGGAAGTAATGGAAGTCGGCAAAAGAATAAGAATTTATAGTGGCCAATTTTGTTAATGGTATGAATGACTTCCTCTAAGTCTCAGTTTCTAAAGTGTGAAGTGAAAATGTGATGCTCCATGATGAGTTCTGCCCATGATTTACAGTTCCACAAGAAAGTAACAAATTGTGCATAAATGAGATGAAGCTCGTCTTTGCTTTAATCAAACCAAAAAGTAATGTATTTATTTTCAATTTTCCATTTTTTTTTTTTTAAATACAGTTTTCAATCTGAAAAACCACCCAAATTATATATTTTTTTATTTTAAAATGGAGGGGGGGCCTGAATGAACCATACATGGATTGCACAAATGAGCAGTACAGTTTCTGGAGTACTTTCAGAATTGATCACTCTTTTCCATAGAATGAGGTACCAGRTAAACTCTTCCGTCCGGTGTTTGCTGTAGCGAATACTCGTCCGTGGAGTAAGGCTGTCCATCTTCGTCTCTTAGGTGAGAAAATACTTCCTTGTAAAGTTCTGAAAGGCGGCATTTGATAAAAGCCAAGCTGCGCTGGAACTCATGCCGTTCCTGAACCAGGTGGTCTCTTTGGACCTGTAGGTGGTTTAGTTCACGTTCAAGGTGAATTATACTCTCCAGCTTTCTCTTCCTGCAGTTTTGGGCTGCCACTTTGTTTTTCCCTCTCCGTCTAATATCCCTAACCAGTGCAAGTTGATTATCTGTTAAAGTGTACTGCGTCAGCAGCTCGTTGAAGTCATCCACGGGCAGATTGATGATCTTTTCCATAGGGAAGGGGATCTTCAACGATAGGGCCCTCCGCTCATCCCTGCTCAGTGGAGCCCGAGTTGAAAGGCCTAATTGTGGTTTGGAGAACATGTTGCGCTGGGAGCTCCCTCTGCTGGCCATTTCATTGTACAAGGGAGGAACTGCAAGACCTGGCTGTTTCGCTGACCTGGGGGTCGTGCCACACGGTTGTGCGAGCGATAAACTAGACTGAGGTGAATAATGAGATGAATGTCCACCTGAGTGTAAATATAAGTGAGCTTTGCTCTGRTAGTCCATTGGGTAATTGGTGTGAGAGTCCATTGGGTAATTGATGTGAGGCCTTCTGTTGTGCTCTGCCATTTTGTCTGGTTCACAATCCCTGTATGTTGTGCCCATGTCCATGTTGTGGTAACCTGGTGCACCTCCTATAGGGTTGTCAGGGGAAGCCAATGGTGGACTGGATCCCAGTGAGAGACCAGAGTCTGACTCCATGTCATCGGCTGAGCGAATGGGTGCACTTTGTCCGACTGTAGTCCATGGCATGTGCTGGCCTAAACCCTGAGAGAGGCAGGCGTTCGGTCTCCTGTGCCCCAGACTGGTACCYGACATGTTTATGAGGGATGACTGAGTGTGAGAGGAGATGGGGAACATTCTTTGTTCCACCTGGGACTCTGAGTTTCCATATGTCACTTCTGTGTTGCTGCCCAKTCGATGACAGGCGGGCATCTCTTCAGAGTAACATCCTTCATAAGTGTTTGCAGCGCTCAGCTCACAAGCAGCAGGAAGRGGTTCAGGGTGAGACTGAACCATCTCATACTCTCCAGCAGGGGCCATCAGCTGCATGTTTTGGAACTGGGTTGATTCGTAGGAGCCATCGCTCTGGACTCCAAACTCCTGTAACAAAAAGACCCCATGACTGACAAGACAGTAATTATGTTATCACTAACAGCTGAAAAATAATTAAAATAGATCTGCGTTAATTCAGTTAATATGTAAAACTTTGTTTTTCTCACTTTTAATTTGTTTCTACTTCAGCCTGCAGCTGGTTACATTTTGAAATAGTATTTATTGGTTAATTGATTTTTAATGCAAATGTGTATTATTATATTCTGCAAAGAAAATACTGCCAATAAGGAATAAATAAAAAATATGCAGCTAATTTCTCCTCTTCGCTTAGTTGTATTTTATTTAGTTCATTTCTGGAAATGCCGTTTCTCAAAGTTCATAGATCTGCTGGTTTCTCCCCCCAACAATAATTGYTGTTTTCATTGACATTGTCAACTAAACAACTGCAGCCTAACATTTGGACCCAAACTAAACTACGCAGCCATAAATGCTGCTCTAAGTCTAAACATTGTGTGAGTGTAGCCTCCAGAGCCATTTTTTTACTTCATCTGTCACCAGTGACAGTTTTCTGCTTGATGAGTGGAACCTAGTTTCACAAAATGTAATATTAAAAACACATTGCAAAAGTACTTTTGAATGTGACGCAGCTTCCCTTTTACTCAGAAGGCATCAGAATCTTTCCTTGTCTTTGTCTAACTGGAGACTTTCTTTCAGCTAAACCGTTTTTTAAAAAAAATAAAAACAATGAAATACAAGTCACATTAGAAAGTGTTACCTAWTAAAACGTCTGATGATACAAATTTTAGTTCTTCAGTGTTGTTGATATATGTTTATTTTCCATCGTATGCCGCTTTTAAATTTAGGTACTCTTTTCTGGGTTTGAATGGGTGCTGGAAATCTAAATTCTAATGTATTTTTTATGTTTCAATGTCTGCTTTAGATTATATATATAGATTTTGTAATAAAAATAAGCTTAACATGTTGTAATCATACTTTAGCCAGTTTTACTTTACTTAATTCAACTTGAGTTATGCAAACATGAAAAAGGCTTATGAAGCATTCTAAAGTGGATGAAATGTAAAATTTTTCTGTTTACTGTTTAGTGAGCTATTAAATCTTTTCAAGCTTAAAAATGGCACGATTACCAGTTATGTTGCATGTGACGATGTCTGAAAGGTTATCAAAAGAAGCAAAAGAAAAAAACTGCAAAATGCCAATCGGCGACACTGAATCACATTTGACAAAAGATGTGTAAAGTTTTAGTTTTTGATCACATAAAAACATTTTTCGTATTGTTATCTGCCAGTAGAACAAATTGCAACATCTTCTATATTATTTGTTTTTTAAACAAGGATCTCAGAAAAGTTGATTCAGTAGATTTACCTGCAGCTCAGTGATGGCCATCAGCTCCTGCCACGCTGCATCCATCTCTGCTTCCTGTGGAGCTCCATGAGGCCTGACTCCAGGAAAGTTAGCCTGGACGGACACTCCACACAGCCTGCCAGGAGTCGCCACTACCTTGGAGTGGAAAAACAAAGTAATTTCAAACAATAAAATCAGAAGAAGAAAAAAAATTGACATTTTAGATGTGTRCCTCACGGACCTACCTCACAGGTTCTCCTCAGAGGGAGAACAAAGTTGGCTGTTGAACACATTCAGAAGAGGAGTTTGCTTCAAAAGGTCAGCCTGATGGAGACACAACTACCTGTTACTCTAACACACCTGTATGCAACACACACTTGGAAAAAGTGTTAGGATACCTTTGTGCGCATCTCGTTAAAAAAAAGGGAATATCTTTCTTTTAAGTTGTYGGTGCTAAATAAGTGTCTGTTGCAAAAGCTTTTTTGGAGCTCAGCAAAGGTTCACTTCAGTTGAGTTGACTCCTCCCATCAGCTGTTCCAGGGTGCAGCTATGCCAAGCCCTGATAAGACAATCTGCGGGAAAACAGCGTGCTCTAAAAGACACACTGAGGACAGATGACTGTTTGGGAAATTTTGCCTCTTGTGCACAGAATAAATGCTGGTAATTTACCTCAACCAGACAGCTCGGAGGTCTGATCCTATTTAGCATGTTCTTTACAGTTATTTATTTATTATTATTATTAATATTTTGTAAAAGTATAGTTATAAATGAAATTAGTGGACACTTCTGATCTTGATATTGTAAAATTACAGGTTGAACTCCTTTTAACAGCCAGCAACAGGTTCAAGTTTACACATGGTACCTTTTGAGAGGGCCTAAAGCTAATCTTGATTAGAAATATGAAAACATTTTTGTAAAATTATTATTTCAGTTAGGTTTACTACTTCATAAGTTATCTGCTTGTTGTTTAAAATCAGGCAATTAAACATTCTATAATTATGTTTMTTCCTAATCAAATATGTCACTTCTAGTGTTATTTCAATTATTCATGACTTTATTTGCTCATTATTTTTACCTGACTAAAGCCACAAAATAAAAAATAAGAAGTTATGATTTGAATTTCTACCATCAACAATTAAATCAATGAAATTTAAAAAACTACAAAAAAGCATTTTAGGTATAAAATATATGTTTTTTCAGTAATACGAATTACAAATCCATGTGTCTGGTAATAGTGTGGCTATTTTTCTTAGTTATTTTTGATTTTATTGATTCTGATTACAAAGACTGAGTTACAAAAGTTACCGTTATTTTAAAGTCTGTTCCATCTGCCTTACAAAAATTCTAAGTCAAATCTCATTGTTAATCAGTACAAATTATATTCAGAGCATTTTAACCACTTCATTTAGAAAAAATTAMAGCGATGAAGTTTCCAAGAATAAACTACTCATTGTAAATTTTAGTTAAAATCGCAAATTTTACAAACTGTGTAAAAAAACAAAAAGAAGAGACATAATTAAACCTACCTGAGTAACATCATCATCATCTTCAAGTGTTGATGAGGAGAATAAAACAAATGTAAAGCAAAGTCCTGGCAGTGGAAAACAAAAAGCAACAAAAATATACTCAAAGTTGTCGCAACAGATCGGAGGAGGTTTAACACATGAGGCCTTCTGATCTGTCTCCTATTCAGCTACAGGTCTCTTACTGTAAGACTCAACATTCAGCCACCAGAATAAATGGGATGGCCCTGTGCAGACATGCAACCTTCCTGTAAAGGACCCACACCAACCTTTTTTTCTTCTTCTTTCTTCTTTGCACTAATAGCAAACTTGCACCCCAACCTCCAAATTTCCCTTTTGCCCTCACGACAGACCACAAACCAACAGTCTGGCATGAACCACAGCAATCATCCTGTCAGTCCACAGCAAAGGTCCATGTGCAGATCCTTTAAAAAGTAAAGGCTCTTCATTTTCAAACATACATCTGAAAAAACAGAATAAAYATCTAAACCAGCCACAAACAGCTTTTCCGAGCCAAACTGAACAAGAACAATGTCCTTTTCAAGTCCTTCAAAYGAAAAGGTATGAGGAGTGTGATGGAGCACCTGGACTGGGAGCTAGTTTAGCAGTGAGGGCCCTGCTGGAAGCTCAGAGGCAGGATTGAGACTTGGTTTAGCGGAGATGGAATGTGCACCCTCCGACAGGTAAGAAAGACTACATTGTTCCTCAATCTGGCAGAGCAACCACCAAAGTGAGATAGAGGAGCAGGGGGAAGAATGAAGGGGAGCGTGTCTTACATAGCAAGTGACCATTAAAATCCCCCACCAAAAAATCCCCCTATTGCCCTGAACCGAAGTATTTTGAAAAGTTACCTCGCAAATTTTTTTTGATTTGTTAAACTGGGCAAATGTGCCATACATGTATTTAAAAAGACCATGTTTATTTCTTACTGCTTACATGCTTGCAACAAGCAATAATTTAATAATAATAACTTTGAAAAAAATTGTAGCAAACAAAACATACAACACATTTGAATCCACACTATTGTAAAATACAGAAATGTTYCCTTTTATTAACTGTTAATGAATGACTTTGCTTAAAAAGATGCATTTGTTATTCACTCCAAAAGCTGAGATCTTGTATTAAGTTAGAATATCCTTTTAAAAAGAGCTAAACAAAATTATTACGCTTTTCAGATTACTTATAAAATATTTTTTTCTGTAAGTGAACTAAGTTAAATAGTTAAAGAAAAGTTGTGTAATATAACTTACAATAACTCTTGATAAGGTAATGAGAAATTAATTCCAGGTGAGGCAAAGAATATAGTAGATTGCTGTCATTTTAAACTAACTCTGAATTTTCAACAATTTTGTTGTGGTATTTTAAAGAACTTTGCATTACAATGCAATTTTACTTCCCATTGTTATTTATGAAGAAATAAGTGTTTTATTTATTTATTTATTTATTTATTTATTTGTTGTTGTGAGTGCTAGCTTCAAATGAAAATGTATTTTTTTCTGCCAAAAATATTCAGGTAATGTGTAATTGATGGTGACGTGAAAGTTTATTAAATGGTATTTGCATGAATCCATATTAGCTCAATCACAATAGTTGGCACATCATTGGGTCAGAATCTTTTTTTCAAACTGGGGTCATTCAAAGAGCTATCCACAGCAGGTAAAACAAATATTGTTYGTCATCWTCCCACAGAACCCCACTTCAAATATCTGAACTCCTTTTAATTTCAGGTTTTCGTGGATGCTTACATCAACACTGGAAAACATTCATGAACACAGAAAGTGTGACAATAAGGACATGTTTTGTGCTAAATATTGACCAGATTGAAATAAAAATGTACAGTTCTAATGGTAAACTCAAAGTTGTCCAAATGGGACATCATTTTTGCAGTGAGACACAAATCACAATGCTTTACTGTCATTGTTTTCACATGGAAAAAGTAGGTGGCTGACAATGTCAAGAAAGGTGAACGTCTACCAGGAATTAAAAAAAAAAAAAAAGGGACTTCCCGGCTTGAGTTCCTAGCACCCAGCCCCTGACTCAACCAATGCCACAACGTGCCAAAGAGCAGCCTGTTATTACTGCGACCACAGTGGTTTTCAAATCTGGACACAGTTCCCAGGTCAACGCCCACATTCCCAGTTTGTGTTTGTTTGCTTCAATTAGTCTTTGACATCTCTGCCTTTTTCCAGCCTGCCTGAAGCTCACAGGCCTGCTGGAGTTTAGTTCTCGTGCTCCTCGGGGCTGCAAACAAGCTGACATCAAAAACCGAGCAAACATGTCGGTCATTAACTGCCTGCAGTTAACTCTCTCAGGCTTAAACTCTCCTAATGACCACAGACTTTCATACAGGTTTGAATCTGACCCAAGACCTTAGCTAAAACAATGTTTTTCTCRTTCATGAAGGAGACTTTTCCATTGCATTTAATAAGAATGACAGATTGTGGTATGTCAGGTTTTAGCATTAAGAAAAAAAAAATTTCATCAAACACGAGTGAGAAAAATAGCCCACTAGAATAAGCTTATTCAAAGGGTTGTTGTGTCAGAAAGGGATTTTTTAAATACATTTTTTTTGAGTCACCTTCTGGGAATTGACTTTTTWAAAATTAAATTCCAGTCACATTTTATTCTGACATAGTGGAAACGAGTTATTACTCTGTTTTGAACACATAACCACGTCATTTTAAAGAAAGATGTAGCAGTTATTGTTTTACATGACCTAAGTCCATCTAAAATCCCAGAGCATCAAAAAACTAGAGATAAATGGGATTCGCAAACAACATTTTTATTGTTTCTTCAAGCATCGTGCCGTGTTTGTCATGATGGTCACACGTTACATTGATCTGGAGGTGAGAAAATGAGGAACCTGAACATGCAGCATCATTCTAATGAATGTTTCACTATAGGACCTGCCCTTATCTCAAGATGTCCAGATTATGATAAAGTTTTGAAACTGTAGATTGCATAGCTGGATTTGAATTTTTTTTTCTTTTGTTATTGTCTCACATTTGTCCAATCMGGTTGATTTTGTAATACACATTGATAGAATAACCATTGTATTAGAAGAAAACATTTAATGTGAAAATGATACAAAAATACAGTAATTTTTTTAATTACCTAACACTTAATGTTTTGTCGTAGTGTGTGTGCATGTGTGGCCCATGTGCTTTTGGCACGCAAAGGCTGCGAGGGAAGGCAGGGAAAGGAGGATGTTGGTTGGCGGAAGCTCTGCTTAATACTGATAAAAAGAGCCCTTGGTTCCAAGGAAGGGAACTGGTAACTGCTGTGGTTGCTGCTGCAATAAGCTGCAGACAGGGTAACAGATCATACTTTGACACTTCAGTTTAGRTTATTATTTAAATTATCTATGTTTCATGAATGAGAACATGAAATCTAAAGGCTAAAATCTTGAWCTGTTTTCTCACCTTTGACAATCTTCTTACAGTTTCAGATTAGGTGCGTATACTATACCTCTTTAGAACAAATCCTTGTGTTTCTGTATGATTATAAATTTCTTACAGCATCCAGCRGAGTAAAATAACATTAGTGTGTTAGTTGATTCATTGTTCAACTCATCATCCACTCTATGAGTCATCGTTAAGCTTAAATTTATGTCCAAAAGATGAGTTGATGTGACGTGAGGATCTTTTCAGCTTGAGCGCGTTCTGAGCTGCATACAGTTTCCTCCCCTGTAAGAGCAGTTTTGAAATTGTACACTGTGAATTGTGTAAACTTACTGTAGTATTGCAACACTTCATGGTTCTACCGCAATTCGTTTTTAAATGCGTGTTGAATAGGTTTGTATCTCTTCATTATACTTCCTCTACAGATAAATAATTTTGGTATTTTCTTTCCAACATCTTTTTTTGAAACTCAAGACCAAAAGTGTCTAACGGTAAGGCCCCGCCGTGAAGTAATTCATAGACTGAGATAGAGGGAAATCCCCACCAGTCTGCTTTTCCAAAAGTTTCCCAGAAGTGGGAAGTAAGATAATTGGAGGTGGTTAAATGTGGGAGGATCCTGAAAAAAAAAGATGCTGATGAGCACTACTAAAACAGACTGTAAATGGGGTGATTTTTGGTTTGATGTTCTCCAAACATTGTGTATATCACGGAACTTTAACTAACATGTTGAAGAAATTTAAACCCAATGTTTTCGTTTGCCCATGTTCTTGGGCAGATACAAGCATCAATTAAAAAATTGATAGGATATTTAAAACTTTAAAAACAGGCGTACTGTCTGAAAAAAGAGTTAGTGTCAGCAGTCAACATATTACAGTTACAGAAGTTTGTGCAGGACATTTTAAGTGTAGATGAGGTTGATTAAAAACTGAATTCTTAAAAAAATTGTACCACACATATAGGCTATTTTGTAATCTTGCATTAGTTCAGAACCTTGTTTTATTTTAAAATTGAATGTTGCTCTTTCAATTTAGACATACATTACAAAGAAAAAATAGCAAACAACACCACACATTTAAAATAACTAAATAAAAACGAGAAAGTACAAGCAATTACTCTATATTTGAACAATTGACCACATGCTGCATTATTCAATTACGTACTTTTTAATGTAATAATACAGAATTTTGCTGAAGAACAACAGAGTTTAAAAAATGACATTTATGAATAGAAAATCGGCCTGAACAGTGATTCTCAATTGAAGACAAACTCTTCACAAAGTTTCTGACAGAATAATTTTACTTCAAATCTAATMCTGTAAAAATAAAATACGAAGTGTTACACTCCTCAAAATAATATTTTCCTTTTTAAAGAAGATGCCAACAYAGAAGCATATTTACTTATGCAATAAACTTGTTGCTGGCGTTTCAAACATCAATGTCTTTGTTCTCGTATGAGTTTTACTTGCCTGCCGTGAAGTGATCTTTACTCTTTACGTACGACGTAAGGCGCTGCGTCATACGTCGTCACCCAATAGGAAAGAGCRTTGACTGAAGGCTAGTGTTAGCCGGGTAGCTGGTCTGCGAACAAGATAGAAGATGGATTCTCCTATCCTGGTAAAATAAAAAATAAAAAAAACATTTATCTATTCGTGACAGACTAAGGCTGTTGAAGGACAAAACTAGTTCTCATGCTTACATCTTAAAATGTACTTTTTGTATAAACTTATAGGAAATATGGGTGTTTTTCTTCGCTAGCTGAAGCTAACTAGATGTTGGCTAATCAGTTAGCATCGGTAAAGTGTGTCCGTGTTTGTTGCTGATGTGGAAGTGTCATGTCTTCTTTATAAAATTTACACACAGTTTCAACTTTCGTGTTCTTTTTTTTATAACCGGGATTATTGGAGCTGTTTTATTTAATTTATTTTTTGCGCCCTCATTTTAAATAGTTTAGGGCCTACACGTCCTGATAAGAGTTTTATCGCGTTGATTTCGCCATAAGCTTTAAATTGTTTTAAAATGTATTGCATACTATATACTTTATTGTTGTCTATACAGGAACCGTCCTTATACACTGTCAAAGCTGTTCTGATTCTCGACAACGATGGAGACAGGCTGTATGCCAAGGTAAGAGTTCTCTACTCGTTACCTTTATTTGCCTTTCCTGTTGCTGAAACTAATAACGGAGTTCCTTAATTAAATATAGACTACATTTAACTATTACTTTTAGTAATATTAATGCTATCTTCATGTAAGGTTACTATGTAAATATTATTATACAGCTATAAATTATGAGGTTATATCAGCAAAAACACACGTTTCTGTAATATTAAGTACATGGGCTCTATATACAGTGACAACGTTGAAAGCCTTAATGAAAAGGCAGCAAAATACATAAAACCACATACAAAAATAGTTACTGTTATAAAAGTTGAGCTACTCTATATACTCTTTGTTTTTATGCTATCTAATAAAAATTTTTTAATTGGTGATGTGTGTTTTACTTTATACTTTAATGTTCATAATTGAGGATTAAAATAATCAGTAATGATTTCTCTTGAGTAACAAGTGCAAACCTCTATAATATGATTTGAAAAAAAAAAAAAAAAAAACTAAATATGCCCACAACATCTTATGTTTGCCAAATGCACACCGAGCATCTGCCGTTTTTGCTGAGTTGCTTTTTTATTGTTTTAAGTTGTTTACAAAAAAAGCTAAAAACCTTTGTTGTCTTTTGCTGCACTATTATAAAATGTGCTGTATTAACAATAATATGAATCAATTAAATTTTAAGGTATCCAGCCTCATGTACATTTGTGATGAAGTCCAGTTATCATTATCGTTATTAGTAATTATATGTGTGCAAATTTTATTTAACTTCAGTGTAAACTAAACCGTCCTTTGAATTGAATATGAGTCATATTTGTATTTTATACTCTGTTTAAAATATACTTTATCTAAATTGTGAGCAGATTGGCTTTTTGCTGCAGAGCTGATGGGGAAGTCAGAATGTGTTAAGACAGTTGTTGTAGTTTCCTTTGAGTTATTGATTAAAAGTTCAAACTAATAATTCTTTGATTTATTCATTTTTTTTGCCCCAACAGTATTATGATGACACATACCCTACAGTGAAGGAGCAGAAGGCGTTTGAGAAGAATATATTCAACAAAACWCATAGGACAGACAGTAAGTAATGATCTTCATATTACAGATTATTTATTGGAGCAGTTTATATCTAATTGTTTGTTTATTTTTGAACATCTTTTTAGGTGAGATTGCRTTACTGGAAGGCCTGACAGTTGTCTACAAGAGCAATATAGATCTGTTCTTTTACGTGATTGGAAGTTCACATGAGAATGAGGTAAATGATTAGAAAGTTATTTTAAGATTTTGCAATGAGTCTTTCTGAAATAAAAGTTAAAACATAAATGCTTAATAATTAGCAGAGTCTCTCAAACAGTAAATGCAGTATTCTACWCTTACAGTCTGTAGTTCTCCTTTCTAGAGTAACGCATGTCGGACTCTTTGAATTTTAGCCGGTAAAACAGCAAAGTCTGCGTTGGTATTTCTTCTGCTGTTCATTCTAAAATGCTGAAAATGTAATTTATTACATTTGTGTCCCTTAAAAAGTCTTATTTTACATTCTTTAGCTTGTTTTGTTATATACAGTTTGTTGATTTTGTTATTAAAACAATAATTGTTCAAATGTTTTGGCCTAATATGAAAAGTAAATAATAAGAAAATTCAAATTACCATTACAATTTTAAAATGGTAACAAATATATAATATGTGTATTATACTGTGTCTGTACTTTAGAAAATTATGCTTTGTGGCAAATGTCATTTTTAACTTAGACTGTTGTAAACCCATATAGGTTGTAAACAAAAAAAATAACTGACCTTTGAGTTCTGAATAAAACGTTGGATAGTAAAAAAAAGTAATTAAAATGACTAAACAAAGTCAGTGCAATATTTTAAATTTACTGGGTTTTTATTTCACAGCTTATGCTAATGGCTGTTCTGAACTGCCTTTTTGATTCCCTCAGTCAGATGTTGAGGTATGTTTTGGCGGCAAATTTCAACCTTAAATAGAAAAAAAAAATACATGAGAGAAAATGAATCCTGAGATTTGACCTTTTCTTTTTTTACAGGAAAAATGTTGAGAGGAGAGCCTTGTTGGAGAATATGGAGGGACTCTTCTTGGCTGTGGATGAGATAGTGGATGGAGGGTAAGTTCAAATTAGGCTCCATCAAACTTCTCTTGCTGAGCTGTCTTTTGCTTAAAAAATGCCAGTCTTATTGCAGTCTTTCCATTCTATTTGCTAATTGTCTACGGGACCTTTTGTGCCACCTATAGGGTGATCTTAGAGAGTGACCCTCAGCAAGTTGTTCATAGAGTGGCACTCAGAGTAAGTCATCAGTCCTCCCACAAATATTCAGTAAAGATTAAAGATAATTGCGGGAGCTGTAAATACAATATGCTTTATTTTGTAGGGTGATGATGTACCTTTGACAGAACAAACAGTCACCCAGGTGAGTAAAGCATGTCGAGCTTGATCCTCTGTCAACYATAAAGTGTAAAACGTCCATTAGTTTATTGACTGTTGAAACTTACTTTAAAAACAAAAAATACTTGGTTGCGTCATTTTCCTCTTTTACTTTGTCACTCGCTTTCAGGCTGTCAAATTTTAGGCTCTTTTATATGCACAATGGTGTGCGTGATTACTATTACTTGGTGGTGAGGGGGTAGGTAGCCAACAGTAGTCTCTATCTTTCAGTTTCTACACAGGCCTGTCTGTGTGTGTGAGTGAGAGAGAGAGCTCCTCATGATTAATGTTGTCATTTAAGAGGTCTGAAAGTGCCTACTGCCTTTCCTCCCATGACCATGATTAATGTCTGTGTCCAGTCTTCATGCTTTATGGTTATGATTTGGCTTTCACTCAGCAAATTAAGATGATTAATTAGGCCTCGCATATTTATCTTCCTTAATAAGACTTGGTCTTTTTTTTGTTGAGAATTAGAGCAACTAATTTTAACTTTTGAAATTTCTACTTTAAGACTCATGCCACTTGCTTTTTAATTGAGCTCAGTATGAGGTTCAGTACTGTGCAAGAAATAAAAAAGGGACTAGAAATTTTTAGTGCTTTGCTGCATGTGATATTGATCAATAAAGTTGTCTAATCTTTCTGAAAATCTTCCAAAGTTTTCTTTAGACTTTGTTTTTTCACTTTTTTTATTTGTTCAATTCCTTGTCCTTGTACCTGACCATGACAGAATATTAGCAGGTGTGTGTTTACAATGAGGCAAGACAAGCGAAGCACAAAAGATGTCATATTAAAAGTAATGTCCACAGCAGACAAACAATAATTGAAAGTCATGTCCTTAAGAAGCAGGTTCATCAAAGACCTGACACAAAACCTGAACAATATATCACAGCCTTCAGTTGATCATTTAGACTTTTCAGCTAGACCGTTGGGAATCAACAATAMTTTTTGTTCAAACTATCAGTGTTATTTTTCCTAGATTTTATCAAAAAACTGGTCAAATTTGTCTGACAGGCTGTTGGTAACAAAAACACTCAAAGGTCCAATTTAAAACAGGTTCTTTGCTAAATTGTCTGGTATGTGTCAACACAACACTAGTTATCCTTTGAATTTAAAATTAAATCAGGGCTTTAAAAAATGGAAAAACAGCCAAAGTTCAAAGAAAACTTTGATAGACCTTCAGAAAACCTGAACTATTTGTTAAGACCACTTTAAATTTTTAAGTAAGCAAATATGACTCTTTAGAAGCGAACAATTTAAATGAGGAATGACTCCAGACTTGAACACAGTACTGTATACTTCAACCCTTATTTAAATGCAGTCAAAGTTTCTCCAGTGATCTTCCCTAAACAAAGCTATTTCTTCTCACAGGTACTTCAGTCTGCCAAAGAACAGATCAAGTGGTCTCTTCTTCGATAGTCACCTTTGTGCCAGCTTCCCAGTGAGCCACTGTTCAGAACAGACCCCACGGCACTGATCCTCAACCTCCTCCAACTTCCACTACAGTCGATGCTGTGAGAAGTACCAATAACTGATCCAGTCACAGTTCAGGACTTCTGCTTTACAAAGTTTGATTTTTCCATATTTTTTATCTGCTCAGTCTCACATTGAATGGTTAAAATGAGGATAACATTTGTACATTCCACCAATGGATTGCCTTGTTTTGTTTTGTTGATTTTTCTTTTAAGAAGCTGGATTTTTATTAAAACTATGTGTAACACCATCACAACCTCTGACATCATTCCATGTATCTCCAGTAACAAGGAGTATAATCTTTTGAACAGCATGCTGTCATCTTCTCCTGATTACTGTAAAATAAATAAAGCCACTTTGAATTTTCATGCATATTGTTATTACGAATTGTGCAACCAGTATTATATTCATTGGTAAATATTAGCATATGTTTTTAATTTCTTATCTTTATTTAGTAAGTGAGCATCTGTGATGTGTGGAAGCTTTTAAAATCTTGTTTCCTCACTTGAAATCTGACTTGTTTGCCTTTTGCCAAAGACCTCATTGAGACTGATGTTAAAGTGTAAAGGCTCCACCTGCTGGTGAAATTAGGAGAGTGCAGGATTTGAGAGGAGATTATACAGAGTTATGCAGCTATTCTAGATAAGTTTAACAGGATTCTGAGTTCCGTGACATGAAGAATAATCTTTAGCTAAAACCATTTCTGTCTTTTTAAATGAGAACCTCTGAGCATTGTGGATGTCATGCTTCATGTATCCCAACTGTCAGCACAGCTGCTTCACACAATATAAATGAGGGATATTCTTCAGGGAAGAATGGATTTAGAAATAGGCACTACATCTATTTGGTCCTTAATGTATGTGACAATATTATAAATGCTCTATCTGCACTTTGTCAGCTATCATATGCTCACATTCTGATAACTATTCCTTTCTTTTATTGGAGATTTATACTGGCTCTGCAACAAACACGTTTAACCATGAACCGTTTCAGTTCACATCCTCTTGGCTTGCTCTTAAGAACTCATTTTCTTTTGTTTGTGCTTAGTAAAAAAAAAATATATATATATATATATATATATAAACTTGAGTTTAAAAGATAACTTCTTTTAATATGCAAACATTTTAAGTAAAAAAAAATGTGATGGAAATTAAAAATGAAATTTAAATGTTCATTTTGAAAACCTGTATGGAAGGAGAGCTAAACATGTTAAAACTATGCTTTTTAAATGCACATGATTTTAAAATAACTTTTCATTTTATCGTCTGTTTTGTCTACATTATTTTGGATTACCATTCTGTATTTCTTTAATAAGCAATTACTCTTTTTGACATGTCGTGACATGCCTGGAGTTAAAAGGAGCTTAGCTACTTAAAACCCCAACCTGTAATATCTGAGACACGTCATTCCCCTCCTCCCCTCAGTGTCTCATCCCTACAGCCAGATAATTTGGCTTAAGACATCAAAATGACAATAAATAAATAAAAAGATAAAGTGAATCATTTTGATGCAGAGATGTCTATAGTCTGGGGGAGTTTGCTGAGAGAATCACCAACAGTAGTGCTGGAAAGCAAAGAGCAAATAGGAACGTTTYACTGATCATTTGCTTCATTTAATATATTATTCACCATCTCCAGGCAAATAAGTTAAATTTGTGTTGAAAATGTGATTTGCCAATCTGTACATGTAGCCTTTAATTAGCTGCAAGCAGTGTAAACTGAGTCACATGAATAAATGCATTATTTAGTTGAAAAGAAGGCTGCTGACAATACCTTTAAAACAATGCATGTTTCTGCTTGGACACATGAATATATGGGTCAAAATTTTTAAATTATACTGATAAGTCTGGTCAAACTGTTATTAGCATTGACCTGTGGTTTTTATTGTTTTGCTTTAAATCCTCTTGGTTCTTGCACATGGATTGAATGAAGGCTCAGGCGATGCTACTGGTGTTTCTCTGGACAAAAAGCAATGAGAACCAGGAGCTAATTATTATAAATGGACTCCCATTACTGCACCCGTTTACTGTTCTTGCACCAGTTTTCTGCTATAATGAGGGTAGCTCACGTCCCGGTGTGAGGTTTCAGTCAAAGGGGAAGGGGGGATGAAGGTTAAAAAGGACAGGGGCTACAGCTGAAAAGCTGTAAACGTAATTAGATGAAATCTCAGCGAGTGCACAGTAGGTAAGAGGGAAAGGGTTAAAACTGAATCCCACCCAAGATGCCTGTCTGGACAGTCACTTTTCATCTAGACAGCCCTGCAGCACAATCGGCAGCTCGGTGACTTGCTGTCATCGTGTAATTACTGTTGCACCATCATAAAAAGCAGCCAGGTAATTTATATTAATTAAACAAAATGAGTGTGATAGTTAGAAACGCCACGGCTTGACATACTGTACATAACACGCAGTAAAATTGTCAGAGACGTGTGCGTTAGAGCCCTGTAATTGATCAATACATACAGCCAAAGAGTTGCTCTCCTTCCATTGTGTGTGTGTGTGTAAGAGAGAAAGAGAGGGGGGGACATTGTGAATTAGTCAATAAATTCTCATCATCTGTATGCTTACAGAGTCTTTATGTCATCGTCATTGGGCTTCAGAGCCCATTCAATAACTTGTCCAGCTAAACAGACCCAACACAAGAGACACACAATGACAGCACAGTTTTATGCCACAGTTGCCTGTTAAACAAAGAGCAAGGCCTATTAATAAGCCATTTTCATGGAAACAAGACAACTGTACCTGCATTTCAACTCGATGCAAAGTTTACAAATAGTCTTTTCATCTGATACATTAAAGAAAAATATTTAAAAGATGGACTGAAAGGGGACATATCATGTATAAATACACTATTTTAGCGGTTAAATTCATTTTGTTGAGTACTTGAAGTCTYTAGGAGTGCAGAAAATTTAAATTTAGTTTCTGCCGGTGCTGTCTAGATATCTTTATTATGTTTGGGTTATATTTTTTAACCCTTTCATTTTTTTTCTGTGGTGTTTCCTGAACAATTATGTCACAGTTTTTGTGACAAATTTTCTAAATACAGTGATTCTGTCGTCTTCACTCTCATGGCTCTGGGTCAGACTCTCGCTCCAACATGTAAGGCTGGATGGACAAGTTGTTGACATCTTTCGATTAATTTGTAAGTAAAAAGTTTCTGTGTTGCTTTATAGTCGTAAACCCCTCTATCAAACTGGGATGGAGTGGACCGGTCTGGAAGCTGGAGGGGGCAGGGCATGAAGCAAATATTTTGAATTTAAAGAGACAGTGTCAGTTGATCTGAGACACACCTCAGAAAAGGGGTGAAAGAGGTGCTTGTGGAGTTACAATAAGGAGGAATTCAGACCAAAGCATTTCAGTTCACTTGTAGACCTCAAATGAATGATTTAAATGTGAAAAAGAAGGAATTTAAAACATGATGTCTCCTTTAAGTTACAGCGGGTAAAATAAGTATTGAACTAGTCACCATTTTTCTCAGTAAATATATTACTAGAGGTGCTAATGACATGAAATTTTCACCAGTTGTCGGTAACAATCACATACAAAGAAATCAGACCATAAATGTCCAGAAATGAAGTTACTTGTAATAATGTGGAATGGCACAGGGAAAAAGTATTGAACACATGATGAAAGGGAGGTGTAAAAAGGCATGGAAAGCCAAGAAACCAGCTGAACTCTCTCAGTAATTAGAAAGCAAGCC